AACATTAAAATTGTAAGAACAGAAAGAAGGAATCCCTTCACGTCACATCTCATTTCTAGTTGGTAAGCTCCTTGTCTCTTAAGCCATGGCTTTTAAGCATCCCTCAGTTTTGTAGCACAGCTCTATAAAATCTCTAGTTGAGTGAAGGTCAGCTATACGAGGGGACAGATTTATTGCTATTCCCCCGTGTGCTTGCTTGTGGGCAGTTTTGCTGTGAATTATCGTTTTCAAGGGTGCAGGATGGGGCCGTATTTTCGCACGTGCGAGAGCGCAGCGGCAGCCCGCAATGCTGGGGACGAGGCGTAGCGCAGGCTGAAGCCGTGTTGGTGCTGCTGAGTCCTGCTGGCGTGGCTCTCAGCGAAGAGTGACCGCCTCCAGCTGGCAAAGCCTGACCGGCAAAAAGCCCAGAGTCTAGATCCCGTTATATGAGCAAAATTACTGCTTTGTGGTGCCTGTATTGCTTCGGCCAGGATCTAATGATGTAGCTCTTTATCTGCCTGTGTGGCTGAAGACAAGGAGGAACTACTCCAGGAAGCCCACCTGTGCTTGCAAAACTTCCAGTGTCATTTCCACTTTTTCCAGGTTTTTTTTCCCCTACCACCTTCTGTTTAAGTTGCATCCCTACCAAACTTGCTAAATGCTTCCACTCCCTTTTCCAGGTAACCGTACAGGTAAGAGACAGCCTTGGAGTAAATCCTTGCATCGCTTATCAATTAATTTTATGCTACACCCAGGATTTTCGGATACATCTGCTTCTAACAGCATTTGTCTGTCTGTATCCTTCATGGATTTACAGCTTTCTTGTCCATATATCAAGGCAAGAATAACATTTTTAGTTGAAGACGTGTAGTTTTCAAGAGTTTGAGCCGTAGATAATTTTTTAAATGGGTGAATCCTATTTAAGATGCTAAGCACAAATACCCTCTTTTCAGTTGGTGAAATTATCCCAGTCGACTATGAATTATGGCCAATTACTCTATAAACTGCATCACTTCTTAGAAGAAGTTGTGTTTTAATTACATTTTTTCCTCTGTAGCAGGCTGCTAACCCTACCTTCCTTCAGTGTTGGATCCAAATGTTGGCCTTTATCAGTCTTGCATGTTGGGTAGGATACACTTGGAAGACTTGGGGGCATCAGCAATGGCTGGAATTTGAAGGGGACTGTTGTTAAACTGCATAGTGTTACATTTATGTTTGTTTTCCCAGTGAAATCGATTGCAATGCCCAGCTACAGAAGTGAGCGAATTCTTGCTGATCTGACACCAGCCTTTATGTTGAACCCTGTACTTAAATCTGCATTTGCTTTAAGTATTCAAGCTGCAGCTTGGTATAAAGGCTTGATGATGTAATTATTTTTGTTGGCAAGCCTAACACTTCAAGATGTTCCAGAGTGAATAGTGATGGAGTCTGTCAAGTGCTTTCTTGAAATCTCTGAAGTTTATGATGAGTGAATTTTGCCATTCAGTGCTTTCTTCAGTGATTAGTCTTACAGTGAAAATGTGGTCAACACATGAGCTTTCAGGTCAAATTATTCATCCCCTTCCTCTTTTTCAGATTTTCATGAATATTTTTCTTTCATGTTTTTTACGAAAGTGAGTTCCTTGCGTTCACTAAACAAAAGTTTACTGAACTTGATGTAAAGTTTACATAAAATGACAGAGAAAAGCATCTCTGAAAAAATTACCAGCAAACTGTGTGAAAGCTTGCCGTAGAAAATGTTGCCAGCCTCTGTTTCCTGTTATCGGGAGTGCCCGTCACTGAAGCTGCAGGGGCTGGGTATGGCTGCCAAATGTTGTTTCCAGCAAAGACTAACAAACCCCACGACGAATTTTAGGTTAAATTACTTGTAAATGCTTGTCATCCGCATGTGTTTTCAGCTGGGATGGTTAAACAAAGGCTTTGCAGAGATAAGTGTGTTCTGCCATCGAGCAAGAGGTCTTGTTTGGATGGGTTGCGCGCCTTCCGGACGGCTCCCTTGGCATCCGCCGCTTCCCATTGGGATTGTGGAAGTGAGCGATTAGCAAGCTGCTGATGAGATCTAGTTATACCCAAAAAAGAAAGAGAGAGGGGACCAGATTTCCCTGAGTGTTTTGCTCAGCGGTTGTCTCAGTGACTCTTGGCATTATTCCTCATTTTTCACTGTAGTGATGGAGAGCTTGATCTGGTACATTATTTTTATGGTGGGATTAAAAAAAAAAAAAAAACAACAAAAAGCAGATCAGTTGGCAACTAAAAAAGTCCTGCCATCTTTGATCTTTATTGTGCTGACAATAAAATTGGTATGAGTTTTGCCTTGTCTGAAACCTGTTTCCTATGGGCTTCATCTGGTTAAGAATATTCTGCTAAATCAGTAGTCGAGTTAAAGTCATTTATCACTGTCCCTTGGTGTTTTCATTAAACTTTCTCTTAAGAATGAGAAGGTGGTACTTCTACATCTTTAGAAAAAGCTGAAACCAAGGAAATGCTATGACATCCAAGCCCAAATTTTCATATTGCAATGCTGTATATTAAATTTAAAATCACCATGTTTTACACAATCATTAATTTCTATTAAGTTCCTTGTGGCATATTTGCATTCAAAGCATGACTTTGATAGGGGTTACTTCATTCTGCAAAATACTTGGGCTCGCCAGTCCCACCAGCCAGCTCCAGCAGTGAGGGGTGGTGGATCCATGCTCCAGCCCTTGGCCCGCAGCCCCGGTGGCTGTGCCTCCATCCCCAAGCCTGCAGGCGTTTCTCTTGTGTTAATACCGGCAAAGCTCAAAGTGTTGGAGCAACTTAAGAAATAATACTAAGGTCACAAGGACAGCTTACAAAAAAAGGATATCTTGCCCTGGGACTGTTGCATGAATTATATTTGTATTACTTCATATTTTTATCAAATCTATCAATATGGATTCTTTTTCCTAGCACCAAATGATTTTCACTGTCTTCCCTTACCCTGGCAAACACCACGAGCTTTTCTTCGGCATTCTTTATAATTTTATTTTTTTTCCCACAGAAGATGAAAGAAAAGCAGACGGCTTTGATAGATTTATTGCCTGTAAATCTATGAAAGGTGCTACTAAAAATCTCAGACTGAATGGCTGAGATACCGGTGAGGATCCAGTTAAGAACCATGGCTGATGTAGTCAGTAAAGGTCTCTGCCTGTTTGATGGTTTTCCTAAAGCCCCAGCTCTTGGGATGCTGGGTTTTCTCGAGAACTTTTCCTCTGACATGCAGCAAAATGTAATTTCTGTTTTTCTTGTTTGAAGAGATAAGTTTGACAACATGACTAGAGCAGAGCGTGTGCTGAAACTTGTGGAAATAAAGCAGCAAATGAAAGAACTCCAGTTTTACTCATAAAAATGTATTTATTTTTAAGCCAATTTCAGGATTTTTTGACATTTGGATTTCCCGATAATGAAATGTTTCACAGTATCTTTGAGACTCTTAAACAGTTCTACTAAGCTACTTCATAACATTTCGCTGCCCTTGAATATTTGTTCTGTATGATTTGAAATGTCTGTACTTTGTATTTTTTTTTTTTTTTCCCCCCTTTGACTCTCCCAGGTAGGCTGTGCAGTTCAGTGAGCTCTTTAATGAATATGAAGCATGCTTTCCTCCTTGCATTTTTCTTTTGACTTTTTTTTTTCTTCCACAAGGCACGGTTTTAAGAATTGAAATATTAGACATCTGGATTTATTAACAGTCCACAATGTTGGGTGAGGGCAGTATTTTTTTTTAAGAGCACTTCATTTTCATCTCTGCATGGCGGAGTTGTCTTTGAAATGCACCCAAGGAGCAGAGCATGCGCCCTTCGGCTGCCAAGGCCAATTGTCCGCCTGCGTTTAAATAAGCCACCGTGAAGCTCCCATTTTCACTGTTTCTTTTGAGAGTTGGTTTATTGATAAACGTGCCGGGGGGCTGTTCATGTAGCACAGGACTTTTCAAGGTGCTTTCCAAACATTCTTGAAACAAGCCATCATCACGGCATCATCAGTTTTGCAGAGGGTAAACTGGGGCATGTGAAGGTCGGTGGGGTTGGTGGAGGCCAGGCAGGCATCCATGGCAGACTGCAACTGGAGGTGGGAGTCCTGGCTCCCAGCTCATTATGGAGGTGTGTTATGGGGGGCTTGCGCTTGTAGAAGATCCTGAGACCTGGACAAGGTGTACGTTCACCCTGGGAACAAAGCTCCTCTTCTGCCCTGCAGTGCCTGTGCAGCATGCTCCTGGATATCCCTGGTTCTTCATCATGATGAGAGTTTGGGGCTGATTTGGGACCATCAGTGCTGTAAATAAGGGGCAGTGCCCCCAGCGTCAGTGTGCATGCACTTGGGTGAAGCTCCTCTGCGTGGCATCGAGGTGGAGCATTGCTTCTTTAAGGAACCTTCATTGGATCTACGTGTTAAAACGTTCACTGGGTGCATAGTTCATGCTGCGTGCTCTTGGTGGTTGTGGTGGTGAGCCTTGTGTTGCTGGCTTCTCCCAGGGAGTGCCTTGCACCCGGCTTTACCCTGCTGCTGACTCTTTCACTTCTTACAGAGAAGGGGGGTTGGGCTGGTGCATTAAGACCTCTGATTCGTGTAAACTAAGAGAGGCCTAACCTTACCTGCCTGCATCACAGAGGTCTGAGGAAAATTAATGCCCTAATATTAGTTAATTGCTTTCAAGATATATAGTGAAAATAAAGTTCTAAGTATCTGGGTAACTATTGTTTCCTTTATTATAGTAATGTATCTCATTTTATGGGAGTCATCTGCAGTAGCATTTAGTCTGCGGTGATAAAGCAAACCCAGCAATGTGCTTCTTTACAAACCCCCACCAGCACAGGGCTGGTTTGCATTGATGGCTCTTCAAAGCCAGAGGACGCTCACCGGCATGCACGGCTACATGAGCGTGCCCAGGCAGCCCTCGCCTGTCCACTGTGAAAAAACGAGCATGTTTCCGTGCCTGTCTGCTTGCAACCACAGCCTGCAAACCACAGCACCTGAAGACGTCACATGCATCCCTTGGCGCGATGAAGGAGGTCGCTCCGTTCTCACAGGCTGTGGTCGCTGCAACGCCCTCCCGAAGCTACGAGGAGCCAGCCCAGCTCGGTCGCGGTGCTGGTTTCCCTGCTCTCGGGCCAGCAGCGGTGCGGCTGTGCTATCAACCCACGTGCTGTGTCCCTACCGCCCTTGCAGATTCCCGGCTGTGGGCTACAGCATGTGGAGATTTGGTCAGTGGCCAAAATAAACCAACGGAGGGAACTGAATAAAGAGCGGGTGTTGGCACATGCACAGACGTACTGGCGGGGAGCTGTCGCTGGAACAGGATTTCCACGGGCGGCCAGCTCATTGGTGTTTGCCACCAGCCGAGCCCCAGCGCAGCAGGCATTTTGCATGCCTACGGGAGTCACCTTCCCCATTCAAACACCCCTGGTCCGCTCGGCTTAGCGGCAGCTTTTCCAGTGTGTCCCATGGGCCTTTGGTTTTGATATCCAAACAGGATATTAGCTAAATAAATAGTTATTATTAGTCAAGTACCTTGCACCTGGACTGCCAGGTGGTGGGACACCATGGGGCTGTTAGTTCTGGGGGAAGTGTGGTGGCTTAGGCACTTGCAGGAGCCTGCGTGGCTGAGATGTGCTGCACGACTTGGGGCTTGCCAGGGCCTGAAGGCTTCATGAACAATAGATGAACTGCCCTTATCCAGCTGAGAGGTGACAAAAAATGTGTTTGTTTCCAGCTAGTCTAGGTTCATCTCTAATGATACATTTCTTGTCTTTGGACAAGACATTATCTTGCTTGTTGTCCTGAACGTTGTCGTCTTTGGATGAAGACCTGCATGTTCTAGCTCCCCCCAAGATGCATAATCTTTCTCTGCGTTAGTATTACATATTTTGAATGTCTCTCCTTGCTTTGCTTCAGAGTCATTTCTTTGTCAGTCTGCTTTTGAAGCACCTAAATTAAGGTTTGCTATACAGTTAAAATCAAGTGTAAACTGGTGTTTGCTTCAGCAGAGCTGTCCTCACATGTTGCTGCCATGCACACCAGTCAGTTACTATTAACTTGTAAAAAGTAAGAGGATGGTAGATCGCATGAATGTTATCGGACACTCAGCTGTCAGTTCATTCCCCAAAAGCATGCAGAGTGGCTTAGTGCGAGGATTATTTTCCATTGTTTATGCTTTTATTGTTTTCTTTCTCTATAGCTGCTTGCATTAATCTTGTATGTCCTATCGATAAACCACAGTTCACAAGCTTCTGATCTCTCTTGTCTACATCATATTGCTCTGTGCTAACTCTTGAGTTACGTATCTAAGGACATTTTAATCATACTTCCACTTGCACATGAAAGCCATTGCTTCGTCCTGCATATTTCCCATGATTCTGATGTTATCCCAAAGATATTTTACTATTTTTCTCCTTAGAGTTGCGAGCACTGTCTCTAGCAGTCATATTTTTCTCTCCCCCTACTGGGATGTAGAGACCCCAGAATGTATTTTTTTGCTGTACAAACAATTCAAATTGGAAAGATTCAAAAGTATGTGATGAAGATCAAGGCTATGGATCCTGAGAAACCAGTGTAGGGCAGTCTTGACTGCATCTGCATCTTGTTTCCCTATCTCAGCGCGTGTTGGGGAAAGCCATGCTGCTAGACTTGCTCTTTCTGAATCAGAACACTTCTGGAACATTTCTTGTGCAAAAACTCTGGTGGATAGACTTTGCAAGTGGCAGCCTTATGATCGGTCCATAACCAAAACTGAAGGATGGTTTCCAGTTCCTCTTTCCAGCTCTGTCTGAAGAAGAAAATCTTGTCTCAAAATTTCCAGTTGTCCCCTTCATTTCATGATCAGGGCAAAGTCAAGGCTACTTGGGGATCCTGAAGTGTGAACTGGTAGAATTTGCAATGTGTATGGGTTTGAATGTAGGGTAGAACCTGAATTCCCAATGTTTGTAATTTTGAGAACTGGTCTCAAAGGCTTTTGGATTGTCGCATCATCGTTGGTTTTGCCATGGTTGTTATACTCATCCCTTTAAATCATTTGAGTTGGAGACTTTTTTTTGTCAGTTGACACTAAAAATGGTCGGGAATTCAAAGCTGGATGTAATGGCTGTTTAAGCAGAGGTGGGGAAAGCACCTGTGATCATATGATAAATCTGTACCAGTGACGTGTACACACACAATTGATTTCGGAAACTAAATAAAAATTTTTCAAATTCCCTAGCTATGTTTAGTGGACAAAGAAAACCACCTGAGCACTGAACAAAGATGAAACTGTCTGAGGAAGGTACTTAACAGATATATTAAATGAAAAAGTTTCAGTGCTTTGCTGTGCTCTGGAAATACCAAGAATAACAGTTTCCACTGACAACAAAAAAGAAGCTCACCTCTTTTGTCAAAACTCCTTTTCATTAAATGTGGTCTTTCAGTTGTCATACTGAAGGCTTTGCCTACTGCAGTCATGTTCATGGTCACTTGCGTATTTTGGAATATTGCTGTTACTGTACTGTACCCTTCCACATGGATGGGGAGAAGGGAGGTTGCTTCCACCTCTGCCAGGGTAAGAAGCAACTTTCTTACTCAACAAACTATTTTGAGCATCCACTAAATCCATCATTAGTCACCTAGAAACACAAGGAATTTGGGCCAGAACTATCTTTCTTCATTACACAAACCTCATGTCAGAAAAGAAGACCCACGTGCAACATGTCATTCAAGTGTTGTGTCTGTGTAACTTACATATATAATGGTGCAAGAGAAAATGATAGTTTCCCATTTAAATGAACAGTTTAGCTCTGCCTATGAATAGTCTGTAGTTAGACAGTGTATTTTTGTCCCTGAGTGCACTAAAACTCAGTTTAAAAGACCACAGCAATGAGAGAAATTGCATCGATTTACTTAATTACGGTACTTTCTTGCTGATGGGTTGGTGTTCTATGCGTTATGTTCAGGAGCTGTCAGATGTCTGTATGGCAGCATCCTCAGCACTGTGCTGTGGCTTAGCCCTCACACAGTAACAGGTGCTTTTAGGAGAAGACTTGGATCCTATTACGTGTTAACTCTTGAGGTGAAAGGAATGCATAGATAAAGAGTGGACAGGCATTGTAACTCATTTTTTGCATGTTGTCTGTTGGCTCCACCAAGCATCGACCAAGAGGGGTAAACGTGGAGGTGGCCCTGCAAGCATTTCTCTGCACAGCCAAGTCCAACGCATATTCAAACTCTTAGCAGCAAGTTAAGAATTACTTTCTTGATTACATCTTTCTGGGCAAACGAGCTCAAAGTAAGTGACAGTTCTCCAGCAGAGTGTATTCTTTGGGAAGTCTGGTGCATGCAGATGCCTACTTTAATTTCACATTGTGTGTGTGTATATATATATATGAACTCTATTTAATTTCTTAACAAAGCTCATAGATCACTCTTGGCCTGCTGTAGTTGTCCCTGTGGCTAGGGTCAATGGTAGTGTGTTGTCCGCTCATGGCTGGAGGCCACGAGTCTACAAATGGATTTAAATTGCAGAGTTCTGCCTTTTCACTAGAATATAATTAAAATAATTAATTACAAATTTATTTTATTTTCAAACTAGAAATTTAGTCTATTTTTGTTCGTTTTCCTCATGACGTGCCGCTGAGATGATGAAAACTTGCTTCTAATTCCTGTAGGTCTTGCAGTGCTGTGCATTGCAATTAACATTTCATGGCAGGCTTTTATGCTACAAAATAGTAGTTCTTATGGAATCCGTGTCTTTTCCAAATATTATGATCCTCATAATTCTATAACTTTTATAATTCCCTGTGGTTCATACCATTGTTAATATTAAGAAATACGAACCAAGGAGTGTTTTGTTGTGCTTATCCACAGAGGATGTGATTGAAATAAGTACAGCTTTACTTAGTTTAGTAGCTGTAACCACCTCCAGTGAGGACTTCCAGGCTGAACCATGGGGCTGGTTTGTTGCAGTTATAAGATGATGCTCACAGTAAAAGGACTGGGCATCTCTGTGTTGTAGCCCTGGAAAGATGCTGGGGAATAGGTCCTAGGGATGCTGAGAGCAGGGTAGCTGTCATGAGCACAGCTGGTGAAAAATGAAGTGGAGGTCTGTATGCAAGTGAAATGAGGGAAGAAATGGCGTTGTGAACAGGCAGCTATTCAGGGGCTGTGCCTGAGTGATGGAAATGGAGTTTATTTGACTGTTCGGAAAATGGAGTATGAAGAAGAGTTTACTTTGTACTGGTTTATTATTTGGGGGTTCTTTTCTATCTGGGGTTTTGACTTGAATCAATTTCCAAGATTTATATTTGATTTCTGTGTGCTTCATAGCATATATTGCTCCTTAGTCAGCTTATCAGTTATGTAATGCTGACCCGCTGAAGCCGTGTCTGGAAGTTTCCAAATACCATTTGGTTTCTTTCAGTCTGCTTAAAAGAGAAAAGGCTAAATAAAATCAGCAGATGAGATGCAGCTGGTGAGGCAGTTAGCGTGGCCTACTGTTACGGCTACCTGCTGATGAACACTATTATGTCCCCTATTTCAGTTGCTTCTGATATGTTCCAAGTGCCTTTAGCTTTTTCTAGGGCAGTCACTTCCCCCCAAATGATTTAAAAATACTTTTTCTTTAAATTTCAGCTGAGTTGACTCACCCATTTCCAAGACCAAGGCTGGGCAGGGGGGAAACTGCTCTGTGGTTTATTCCCCGCCCTAGTTTTGGGGAAGGGCTGGTGAAGCAGTGCTGTGTGGTGGCCAAGGCACCACTGGGGATGTGGTTCTGTCCTTGCGAGGGCACCCGTGGGAAGAGGCGACCCATGGGGAATGGCATTGTGCTTTACTCGAAGCAGAGGATGGATAAGGTGCGGTCACGTCAAAGTCGTGCCAAAGACCACACTGAACGAGAAGGATAAAACAGCGAGCATCTGTTTCTTCATTAACTCCTGTCTGTTCAGTGCTCTGAAGAAGGGTCTGCTGTAGAAATGATCCTGTCCCTTTCCTCTAGGGTTTTTTGGTGTTTGTGGATCTGTGTGTGAATGTCTAGGTGAAAAAGTGGAGGAAATTAATAACGCAGAGGTTCAAATGTGAAGATTATGCATAAATGAAAACTGGGTTTGACCTTTAAC